CATTGCTAAGGTTATCAGAAAGAAGATGGAAAACTGGCTTGGAAGATGATATGACTGAGTCTGGTGGTTGATTGTGTGGGGTGGTTTGCATGGTGGTTTTTGTTGTTGTGGGATTGGTTTTTTTTTTAATAAACTGGATTTTGTAGTTTGGAATGCCTTTAACCTGTTTTAAAGGAATTTAATTCTACTCTACTAGCTAGAAGAGCCTGCATCTTTCTAAAGCAGACTATTAAAATGCTGCCTGTGTACTTAATGCTCTGTGAAGTTACCTAATGGGCATTATCTCAGCCATTAAATGTCTCAAGAACACGAGTTGGAAGGAGATTTGTCCTGTGGCTCCCAAGCCATCTGTTGAGCTCCTGGATTTTCATGTAGTAGGTGTAAACTGTTTAATTTTTTCTAGTGCTTGAACTGGTATTAGCTGGAGTTTGGTTGCCTGGTTGAGTCTTCTGCTACATTAAGTTTCGATTCCTCTAGTTTTTGAAGTAATATCCTGCAGAATTCTTGTCTTGGAAAGTATTCATCATGAGATAAGGTCTTTAATATTTTTCACACAGTGTGCTACAGTATTTTTTTACACAGTAGCTCTTGCCTTATGCAGGAAAAACAGACGTAAGTCTGTAACAAAAGTATGTGCTTTTGGTCACCAGAGATGCCCAAAAGTGCAGGAGTGCCTATTAAACATTTTCTGTTGTTGTTTCATATTTTTAAATGTTGAATTAATAAATTATGTTCATCTTCTATAGTAGAGCTTAATCTATTGGCTTTTGTTATCCAGCCCATTAACGTCTGGATGAATTACAGCAACTGCTCAACTGCTAATCTAAGTTTTTAGAGCAATGTGTGTGACAACTTGGGGATTTATCTTTAGTTGGAGTTTGTCCATCTTGCAATTTCCAGCCATTGGATCTCATTCTTCCCTTGTTTGTTACAGGTAAAAGGTTTCTAGCCAATCTTCTGTGGACACTTAAAAATTCTTGATGAAATCAATTTCTAAGATTTCACTTGATAACTCAATTTAGAACACTTCAGAACCTGTGTTTTTACATACTTATTTTAACTATATCTGCAGATACATTTATATTATATATTGCTTGTTGGTAGGAGATGTTAATTTGCTCATCGGCTCCACATGAAACTGGTAACTCTTGGTAACTCTTCTGTTGTGTCTTTTTGCCTCACTAATTTCCCTCCACACTAGACTTTCCAAGATTTTGAGGCAAGTGTGTGTGTGTGTGGTAGGGAAGAGAAAACGTGTCAGGACACTGTGGTAGAGGTACTTCAAAAATTTTACTTTTTACTTTTGGTGATACGGAGAATGTAGAAGGGAATAGCAAATCTTTACAGGAAGTCTGTAAAGCTGTAGCTTGGCCTTCCATGTTAATATATATTTTCATATTTCTGTGGGCATGTTGGGTTAAGTCACAGTGAAAATAATGTTGCAAACCTGCTTCTGAGCATGGATTTTTAACTTCCTTCATCCATTTCAAAAGTTTTGTTTTTGCCGAGTCTTATGATATGAATATGGGGTTCCTCTAACTAATCCTGCCAGTCATTCAAGGAAGCTTTTTGGTTTTTGTTTCTAGAAAATTATCTTTAGTATACTGACCTTTCTGCTGGTAATCAGTAGGGAGTTCAGAGGTCACCTGCTTTTCCTGCTAGAAGGCAAGAATTTAGTTTTTTTCTAGAGAATTCTTTTCCAGCAAGAAACCTTTTGTAGTCTGACTTTGTGGATTTTTTTTTTTATGTATAGACATGTGGATAATCCAAATTCTAAATTCTGTAATATAATCAAAAACTGGAGGACAGCTAGGATATATTAAGTTTTCAGTAGCAGTTAACACTCACATTGTTGTCAGCAGTTATGCAGAAACTCTTCCTTTAGTTGCCTGATCATGTAGTCATGTTTTTACTCTGTGAAGCAAGGCAGTCAAGTCATGGGAGCAGAAGTTTAAAGAATTTGCTTTTACACTAATTTCTTGTCAAGTATATGTTGTGTTATGTGTAATTCACATAATTCAATATTCATAATTCATAATTCATTAATGCTTTTTTGGTATCAGTTTCTAAGTTATTTGGGTGAGAGTTTCTGACTTGCTTTTCCTTCTGCATAGGAAGAAACAGATGAATTGATTATCAGGTGAGATGAGCTGCAGCAGAATTTGTATTCAGAAGTGACAGAATTAATTTTGGAAGTGGATTAACCGCCCCTCTCTGAGCACTCAAGAGCATTAGAGGTGAGGAAGTTGCTCTGATCAGTATTGATTTTGAAACACTGAGAATCTGTTGAGGGTGTTTGCCTAATGTGAAACATTTCATATTTGGAGACCTGGCAGCAGCAGATGAAGCTTTAGGTTACACTTCCAAGTGAAGCTATACAGCTGACACCTGCAGTTCTGAACAGAACTTTTGATCCTGATCTCCTAGGTGTTTTATTTGCAGAGGGGAATTATTAGATCCTGGACTTGAGCATTAGCTTTTGTTTTATGGTACACTGTTTGGTGACTGACAAGACTTCACCAAGCACAGAATATTTGTAAATTGAGTGTTAATGAGAGAACATGCAATTAAAAAGTCAATGCAGTTACCCTGCATTGTGATAGATTGTGGTACTGTGTTGGTTGGTTGATTTATATATTTCCCTACCAAGAGTCTCTTTTCCTCCCAGCCAACCCAACAACAGAAAGTAGGGATATAGATAGGGAAATAGGCTCCATAGTGGCAGTAAGAACTTTTGCAGAGGACTTTGCCAATAAAAAAATTACTGGCCTTTACTATTAGAAATAATATATTTTCTTCTTTTTTACTTCAGAAACATTACTGCCCCTAATTTTGACTGTGCAAGTGTGTGTGGAGAGGGAACGTTTTGTCAGATGTTGGGCAGCTTGTCTGTATAAATTCCAGAGATTTATTCATCCACACATATATGAGATTGCATTCTTATGAATAATCACCAAGGTTGCAGTCTGCACATAAGTTTGTGTAAGGCTGGAGTTGAAGCATTCAAATTTTCATGGAATTACCAAATTTCCACTGGATTAATTTTTCAATGTCATTAAAAAAATGTTTGATATATTTTTTTTTAAAGGTCTGATATACAGATTAGTGTCTAATTGGAAATTATACTGGATAGGCAGCATTCCATTGCTTTTTATTGCTGGAGGCTCTGTGAGCATCCTGCTCCTTCAGATGGAGAAAAGTTGTGGTGTGTTGTTTGTAGGTTTTTTCCTGTTTTAGAGTTGGTTTGGGTATTTTTCTCTGTGTGCATGCTCGGAGGTTATGCTGTACAAATCCACTAGGTGGTAGGCATTAAGCATCTTCTGACTAATTGTATAGCAGAGAAATTTTAACAGTGTTTTGCAAATATTTGAAGGAGTACTGGAATACTACTAGTAAGTGTGTTGATTGAATTTTGAGGTTTAGCTTAACAGGGTTTGATGGTCCTCTCTTCTGTTGGGAGCTGGAACCTGCTTCTGCATGTTCATGCTGGTGAAATTGCTAGTGTTTTAGAGGACTGTTTATAGTATGAAAAATAAATGTGAAGAAATAGGACATAACTCACAGGATTCTTTCCTTGAGGACAGCCTGGTGGAATACATGCAGATACTCCTCTGGTGTGACTAGTGCTTTTATTTTTGTAAACAGAATGTGATATTGGGCATTAAACTGTTACTGATCACTTTTCTCTGCTCCATTACCCACTTTGGACTGCTGTTAAATGGACTGATTTTTTTCTCTCTCCTTTAGAGTGTTCCATTTGAATCTGGCTATTACCTTGCCCTGCCATTTTCTACCCATGTGTATCCTGGTGTATTGAATCCCAGCTATTAAGAAAATGCAAATGAATGATTTAAATAGTCTCCATAAATACAAACCTCTTTCTGGTACTTACTTACAGGGAAGCATATCTGTACAAAGCTCATGCCACTTGGCTCAGTTGAAAATTGCTGTTTAAACAGCTGATTGTATGGAATGAATGCTGCTCACTGTAGCAGCTCTTCTTATGAAAGTAGGTTTATAATTTTCATAAAATACTGTTTGTTCTGGATTTTTTTTTCTTTTTTTTTTTTTTTTTTTTTTTTTTTTTTTTTTTTTTTTTTTTTTTTTTTTTTTTTTTTTTTTTTGCCACTGTATTCAGTAATTACAATGTGAGGAAATTCAGGACTCAATCTGAACTTTTGCTGTGGTGTGTCTGTAGTGCCAGTTCAGGTTGTGGCATCACTATGTAGTTCTACAAAACTGGTTAAACTCACTTCCTCACCTCCACAACACATCAGAAAGGGGAGGCCACTGCTGTTCCAGCCTCTAGTGGTGGTGTCAATCACTGTACTTGATGTTCTACTTGGTTGCTCTTACCTCTGCATTTCAAGGGTCAAAAGCCTTACATTCAGAAGCACTCCTTGGCTGCTCACCTTGCCTCTTAATACAAATTCATTTTGTTTTCTGTTTCTGATCTTTTTTTCTGAGTTTGAGTAGTTCTCTGAGGAGCATTATAAATTGAACCCCATTTGGCTCTTTATGCTGAACAGCATGACAAAGTCCATTGGAGAGAAGTAACAAGAATACAAATAACTTCTTATAAGCTGTTAAGCTTTTTGTGGTGTGTTTTTCTTCCATGCTTTCTGTTTAGAAATTAGAGTTGATGATCTCTGTGTGAGATTCTTTTCTGCATTGCATTTTCTAGTAGACATACTTGCACTTGATCTCATAGGAAAGTGGAATGTAAAATAAAGTAAAATATTCTTCAGTGCATACAGAAAGAGACTTTTGTAGTATAAATAATTTTACACCAATAGATAGTGATAACTTCTGTGATAAATGAATCTTGATTTTAGTAGGTTATATGTGGTTACAGTATTCATCAGGTATGCAAACCTGTTTTTGTTTGATTCACTTGACACACAGGAGCTGACAGCTTCTCTGGAGATGATGTATGGTCGAGATTCTGAAGCAGATGACTCAGGAGGTATTTCAATACTTCTTTGAGTGGATGAGTGTTAAAATGAAGAAATTAATTTGTGTCAGAAATAATATGGACACAACTCTGCAAATCCTTGCTGACTGGTTCAGTGACATCTGAAAGGTACGAAGGACAATCAATCTTTCCTATTGGTGAAAATGATGAAATGTGACACTGTCTATCCAAGCTTGTGAGGCACAGGCATTAGTAGGGACAGCTGTTTTTGGCAGGGAGATTGTGCATATGAACTATGGCTCTAAATCTCAGAGTCTCATAACAGAATGAAAGGTAATGCATTGAGGAATAGAGTGTTAGTTTTCCTTTATTCTTGGTGCAGTGAGCTGGAGTTTATATAAAAGATGTCCTCTCAAAAGAAAACAGGAATGACAGTGCTTTTATGCAAGTGTAATTTTGGGTGTGCTCTTCCACCTTGGTTGTGTGACTGAAATGCTTTAATTAGTTCTTTCAAGCTGCCTTTGGAGAGAAAGATTTCAGATTTTAAAAGGAATTAGTTAAAAATTGTTTCTTGATGAAGAATTACATAAAGAGCAGCCAATCTCACTGGATGTGTTGTAGGTACAGGCTGCAGACAAGTACATAACAGATTTTCTTTCTCATTGAAATACTGAGTGGGAGAATTTATACAAATAAAGTGCACACCATTCTGCATTCTGATGCTCTGTCTCAAAGTTGTAGGAGGTTTGGAGCAATGAAATTGGCTGCAGGTTATTTGTCTTAAAAGGAGAGGGATGGTGCTAGTGGATTACCATTCATGGAGTTCTGCTTGTAAAGAAAGCACAAAGTAGGGAGGTAACTTAGAACCTTTCCTACCCCTGTGCTTAATATCTATGCTTTTTCTCAGTTTAGGACTCAATCTTTCTGGAAAGACTGTCAGCTGCTTCTTCTCCATTCCTGCAGGCCCAGCTTCCTCAATCTCCTTGTCACTATTACCCATAAATATTCTGTTTGTGTCTGCACATCCTCCCTGCCCGTGTGAGTTGTACATAACCACAAGGGCTGTGGTCTCTCATAGTGCTTTTTGCTCTTGCATTTCATTGTACCCAGAGCATTTACTGTAGCCTGATGCAGCAGTGTAGACTTGGTTCATGTCGAGTATGTTAATGAATGTAATTACTTACAGATGTTTATAATCATGTTGGTTATTAGAGGGGGCAAACAAACATGCAGGTAGGTTTCTGTGATTGCAATTTGGAGTGATATTCTGCATGTAGAAGCATGGTTGAAATTTAGTATAGTAACAACTTTGGTTTACTTATTTCAAATCTGAATTTTTCTGCAAAAGCTTTGTAGGTACAGGGAATATACACAAATTTGATATGGATTGGTATTGCACTAGTTGGTAGATCAAGGAAGACATTTTCATTTATTCTTCTTTGTAATTTCAACTTTTGCTGTGCAATTTTTCTGTTGCAATTTAACTTCTACCTCCCTTAAAAAAGGGTGAGCAGTTGCAGAGAAGAAATGATCCTTTGGAGTGTTTCCCTTCTCTTTATTTTCAATACTTACTCCTCTCCCTCTTTTTTTGAATCCAAGTTCATCTACCGTAGCATCTATGAGAATCCATGCAATAGGAAATGTATAGGTTTGGGTCAGTGACAGACAAGGAAAATTTCAGAGACTGTATGAATTTTTTCCAGTATGAATCTCCAGGCGTTCAGGAGAAACACTGTTTGAACTCACTCTTCAAGATTTTTTTAATTTTTTTTTAGTTCCTTTAAGCTTAAGACAATAAAACATTTTCACAATATTTAGTGGAATACACAAGTTTGATAGGTACATGGACAAGGTGTGGTTTATGACTGTGTATCTTGCCTGTTAAATACAGCATCATATTTCTCTTTTACTTCTGGTTGCCAGTTTAATATCTCTTTTTCTGCAGATATAAGCAACAAAACTTTACTAAAAACAATGTTCAGTGTAATTATAAGCTGATCTTATGGATTTTTCTCTGTCTCTTTCTGCATTTTATATCTTGAACTTATTTCTGACTTTTACGAAAGTACTTATGGTTTCCTGGTGAAATCTTTAACCTCATGTCACACTTGATAAACTGTGAAATAGATCCCAGGATGTGTCTTCATCTCTGGCAGTACCATATAGGAATGGAAATCTTGTCTACTGCTGTGTGGGCAGCATATGTTGATTTTTGACATGAAACTCAATAGGAGAGGGATTTTGACTCTTCTACAGTTTCATATTATGATAAGCATAATGAGATTAGGAAAATAAAACCCAATCAAGGGAATAATTAACTTTATGTTTGCCTGGTGAATCTCAAAGCTGTTATTTCTAGAAATTGTTATATTACTCAAGTGTGAGGTGAGATCTGACACAAATTCTGATTATATTTCCAGGAGGTCTAGCACTTTGCATTTCTTGCTTGTTTTTTGCTGCCTGACTGCTAACTTCTTATTTTCAATTGCAAGGCTGATTGCTTGGGTAGGTTTGGGGTTTTTTCCTTTCTGTTCTTTGAAGTGTTGATGCCATAAGCATCTTCAGATTCAGAGAACGTGGTTCGCAGTAGGGATGAAATTCTTGAGTTGGCTTAACTAAGAAATATTGGGAAAACTGGTTCTTACTTATCTATGTGCTGAGAAGCTTTCTTTGAGCTTTACCATGTTTTTGTGCATGTGCTGAAAATACAGTGAAAATTTTGTTTGAATTAATGGGATTTCCTCTCTGGGTTCATGTGTATGCATAAATTTACTTTTTCCAGTCCTGAGAGAAACAGTTTTCATCACTTTCCTTTTGCATGGGACAAGTGTTCTTTCCTTACCAGTACTCTTTTTCTGTGCTGGTGTAAGCCTTTTTCTTAGTTATTTACATTTTCCAATAAGCATTTCCTCCATTCTCTTTTGCTCACTCTGAGGTACTTGCATTTTGTCTCTGCAATGACAGTCCCTGCTGTGCCAGAGAAGGGCCATTTCAGTAAATATTGCATCTGTCCTTTGATGTGGCATCATACTAACAAAAACCCAGGAGTTTATCTTGTGACTGCTCTTGGTGATAGAAGCAGTGACTCTCACTCCTTGTGTGCTTTAATATTCCACATTTATTTACTTGTGCTAGCCTTAAAAACTCTTTAGTAGCACTTGGAATATGAAACTGTAGTTCTGCACAGAAGTACCAGGCAGTTTTATTCTGTCAAAACTCTTGGATGAACTCTTTGAATTGCTAGCTTCCCCTTTTGAATCTCTATAAGAAGAGAGAGAAAAATCGGATAAAATAATCTTTCCATTAACAATGGAATTTCTCAGTCAAGTTTTCACATCTTAAAGGTTGGTGTGTATAAATGAAGAATGACTCTCAATCTTTCTCTCTTTCTCTGTCTAACTCAATCAGGAATATGATGAAGCACAGAAGTACACAATAAGTACTATTATAAGTACAATAAGTACTATTATAAGTACTTAATAAAGCTATAAATAAAATTCACCAAAGTATAATCACTGTCATACAGAATAGATACTTGGCCAGTGTTGAGGTAAGTTTATACCTTATTTATTTCTAACCCTTTCTGATACAATTTCTTTTTGGTAAATGTCCCTTTATCTTTTTAGAAGAGAATTTTAGGAGTTCATTGGTGATGAGAGGTTAGTTGGTTTAAAGCTTCAGAATCCCAGTGGTATATTGTCTTAGTCAATGCTTCATTTCATACATTTAAATACAAAGACAATTTCTTTAAAAATAAAGCTTTGAAAGCTGGAATCTCTAGATTTGTGACAATATCAGTAGTATGTAGCTTAAGGGGATTGAGCTTTAAGCAGAATGTTGGTTTTTCAGAAGATTTTTTAATGTAATTAAAATTAAACTCAATAAAAACCCTCTTCGGTACGGAAGGATCCTGAAAAGCTGAATTCGAATAGGCTCCAGGCTGTTTCTTTAATGCATTTTATATTAAAATAGAAAGATTTAACAATTTCTGATTTTTTTTCCTCCTAGTTCAAAAAACCAGGCAGAGGAGTTGTTGAATAAAAGACATGTTGTTCATTATTTATTATCTGTTAAGAAAACTGTGAAAAGCTTAGAAGCCCAGTTGAAGTGGAAGATGTTTGAAAAGAACAGAGTTTATAGTGTTGGATTTTTTTTCTGTGTTGTTCAGATGGGTTCAGAAACATTAATTTTGTCTATTCCAAGTAAGAGGTAACAAGGTAGAACAGTTTCACTTTCCAAATTCAATTTTGCCTTTAAATGTGGAAGTTTTACAGGCCCTTGAGACCAAGCTTGAATGGTTAAAAAAAAAAAACCCAAACAACTCCACTAACCAACCATCAAAAAAAAAATAAAAATAAAAGTACATAGACTTTTCTGTTTCAGTCTCTAGCTATGACACTGTGCTTTTAACTAATTCCTTCTGGTGATAGGTGCTGTTCACAGCATGAGCAGTTTTGTCCAACTCTTTCTACTGTGCTGGTTACTTTTAACCTTCTTCATAAAGTGTGCATCTTCTCCTTGGTGACAGAAGTCAGCTTCTGTTCCAGCTTTCAGGGCTCCCCACTATTCCTCAGAGAGCTTTAAAGAAGGTAAATACTACTTCAGCTTTGCTGCTGTCGGCTTGATTGTACATTAATTATTCTAATGATGATGCTTAAGGAAAAAAAGGACTTGAGCCTTTGCCTCTGAGCATTGTAAAGGGGCAGTAAGCTCCCAAGAGGGCTTTAAAATGAGGTGCACTAAGGAAACCTATTGGGAAAATATTTGTGAGTAATGAGGTGACATGAAGAAAATGCCTGCTTATGGGAGAAAAAAGTGGATGAATTATGGAACCTGATGTTGCTCATAGAATAATGACATTGCTGTGACTTTTATATGTGACCAGCTAATTAAAATAAATTCTAAAAAATCTCTTTGTCTTAGGAAACAAGTAGGCAAAAGGCTAGAACATTTGGCTTGTCATATAAATAAAGGGAACACCTTTCTCAGTGATTAGGTTTTCAGAGATTCTCTTGGGTTTTCAGGAAGGAGACTGAGTAAAATATGCATTTGAGAATACATCCAACTCCAGAACTGCTATATGGAAGCTGTTTTCAAATTCTGATGTAGTAGATTGCTGTTGCTTGGTGTAATAGCAGAATGAGAATTATACATAGACTTTGTTACTCCTAATGCAGTCCAATGATTGCAGTGATTTTGAAATAACATAATAAAACTTCTCTTTTACTTAACATAAAAATCAATTCCAACTGTCATAGAAAGGGAATTGTTCTACTTGTTGACAGCTGAGTTTTCTGAGAGGTCATTCTAGGTACAGATGGTGTAGTTGTGAAAAGTGCAGGAGCTGAGGAAGACTTACAGGTTTGTGCCTTCTCTGTAAGGGTGTCAGCACTGCTCAGTGCTCCTGCATTCTGTGTGGTCACAAAAGGATGGAGCTGGCAACTGATTTGTCACCAAGGGCTCCTGTCAATCTGCAAACTTGTCTCCTCCAGTCTGGCCAGAGCTGGTGCTGGCTGCCATCATGGAAGGGGGTAGAAACTCAGGGTCTTGCTTTTATTTTGACAGTAGAGTCCCAAAGCATGCTGTAAACCAGGAGGGGGGAAGCAACCAGTAACAGGTAAAAAGCAGGAAGGCAGAGAAGAAAAAATAGGCAACCTGGCAGAACTAAATTCTTCAAAATAGTGCTGAATGTCTTTATGTATTTGTAATTTTTTTTATTAATTTGAGAAAATTTTTGAGTTTGTATTCTTTGCAACTTTATGAGCTTCAATAGTGTCTTAGTGCGTGGTATGTGAAGAAGGATTAAGCAGCCAATTTTCCTGCATTAGGTGATGTGTTGGACAGCATCTCCTCCACTTCCTTGTTGTATCCTGGCACTGTATTTCTGCCTCCCCAACTCAGCAAAGCTCCTGAATTTGAAAAGCCACAAGCTTCCCAGCAAGGGCTCATGTTCCCATGCAATGAATTTGCATAAGCAATTCATGTGTTTAAACTGGTTCTCTGAGTATCAGCTGGAGCTCCAGGTATATGGGCAGGTCTTTGTGGGAAATACTGGCAGTTCCATCATCTCTACAGTGATGGCTTCAGTAAAGCCTCCTGTGCTGCTGCATTTTAAGAACAATTCCTAAAAGAGATGTGAACTGCAAGTTGATGGGTAACTGCCATCAGCTTAGAAGATGATGCTGATTCATATAAAAGTCACTTTTCTCTGTTTTTTATTCCCCATTTACAGAGCACTCGCTTAAAATTAAGTAATTTTTCTATTTGGATAAATTAATGATGAAATAGATTTAAGTGTAGCTTGATATCATACATTTTTATAAATTATTAATAGGATAGGATTTAGATAGACTACTTTTGCTATCATTATGCAGACCTTGCTCTGTTCGAGAGGGTTTTTCACACAGAAGGTTTCTCACACAGATGTGAGGAAAAAGAAAATGTAAAAAAAACCAACCAAAAAAAAAAAAAAATGCTCCCAAAACAACAACAACCCCCCGCTACCAAAACCAAAGGGAATAAAGACTGTTTTACAAATGACTAATTCTTCTTGAAGAGAATATCTGGGGTGCAGCAAGATAGGCATTCAGGAACCTCATCCAAGCTTGCTGTGTGAATTTCAGATTGCTCCACATGTAACAATGTTCAGCTCAGACTTGGTGTTGCATTGATCATTTGGTGGAAAATTCTTTGTATTTTGTTCAGCAGTTGCCAGTTTCATGTTGAGCATCTGAAATTGTGTTTCCCTCATTTCATAGCAGTGTCTCCTCAAAAATGGAGATACTGATTTTTCAAGGTCTCTGCTGATCTGTGTCCCAAGAACCCAGCACTGACTAACCACATTTCCTTTTGCTGTCTATATAATCTCTCAGGACAGAGGCATATTCATCTTAACCTGTAGGCAGTGTCTGAAAAATGCTGCACCCATTTATGCTTCTAGGCAATCATGAAGACTGGGGGGATTTTACTTGGTTTATAAGTGCAATGTTCACATTTGTCAGACAGAGTGTGCTCACCCTTCAGCATTTCTTTAGGCTAAAACTTGGGCAGGGACTTTTCAATCATATTTTTAAAACTCTATTTATTTTGACCTCTTAGAAATTCTTCTGTCATTATTTTTTCCCTCTTGTTTCTGTGTAAGGGATTGAGCCCCTTTCCTGTTACCTTCCTGTAAAATTAAAAAAAAAAAAAAAATTCCTTGACATTTTTTCATATCAATACATTTTCATTTGGAACCTAGTGAATCTCCTTGACTGATGTTTGGTTTTGTTAAGCTAAATGGGTAAACCCACCAGTGTTATGTATTATATATATATTTTAATTTACAGCTTTGCATTCAAAACCAGGGATTTCACATAAAAAGAAGATGGAACACTTGAAGTAGAGGTTGTCATGGTAAGTAAAATGTCAGATGAGGACAGAAAGGTTGTTCTTGTATAGAGATTGTTGGTTGGATTTTAAAGTGAAATATTTAATTTGAAATGCTGGGCTGAAAAAATGTTCTTAATTGACTATTTGCATAGTTCTGGATAGCCTGTACAAATAACAATTGAGAAGGTAGGAAGCCCCAGAGTTCTCTTAATATTTAACTCAGATCTCAGAAGGAGCAACTGATAATTGAATTATACTGTGTTGTAGACTTGGAGAATAAGTCCTAGAGATTCAGCCTCAAAGGAGGTATTTGTATTAGAACCTATTTTTTCTGAAGTCAGGAAGTTGACTTTTTTTCATCTTTCTTACTATACAATGACTGCAAATGTTTGAGCATTATTAAAGCAGCCAAATTAAATTTTAATGATGTAAATGCAGTTGAAAAAGTGTACTGTGCCCTTTGTTTGGTGTTCCTTTTTTGTGCAGCAAGTTTTCCTATGCCTCTGAAACAAATCTACAGTATAAGTGAACCCTGCATGATACAAATTGTTGTTGATGTTTTCATTCTTTCTACTCTCAATGTTATTCTCTGCCTGCCTTATGACAGCAGCTGATGTCTCCTTAAACTCTATTTGCAGACCCTTTTCTGAAGCTTATCCTTGCCTAGGGTCTCAGTGACACTTTGAGAATAAGAAGTAGATCTGTGCACCTTCATGCTTCACAATTTGGCTCTCCAACTTTGAAGTCAATCTTCACTATGTTACCTTTCTCTTGGATGTTAATCATTAACACATAATTTTATAGCCTAGTATCTGTGCATTCTTTACCTGAGTGCTTGTCTCTTCTTGGGTTCATATTCTTGTGTAACTATTTTCTATAATCTTTCAGTCTTCTGGCCATGAGTAAGGCCAAATAATAAATCCCTCTTTCTTAGTTATACTTGTGTATTAATGATTTGCCAGCTTTACAGAGATGACTGTTTAAGCATGGAGCTAAATTACAAGAGTTGTGTTCATTATGAGCTGAATGTGTCCTGTTTACTGTGTTTAGGTTAAGGAAATGTCATGATCCAGTACCAGGCCAACACTGCTGTAGTGGCTTCAGTGTCCTGGCAGGCAGCTTATGTACCACTGCATATCACCTACACAGTACAGTAAATAATCTTGTTTTGTTACATCACTTCTTTAGCGTATCTCTTTTAATACTTTCACTTGGAGCATTTTTTGCAGTGGTGAAAGCATTACTGATAATGCAAAATTATTTCCAACAGGGCACTACCACAGAAAACAGAAGCATTTGAGCAGGGAGGTTATCCTGCAAATAGTGTATCTTATTGCTCATTATAGTTGATTGATTTTTTAAACTAAAAGTTAAGCGAATCTCATGAAACACACAATACTATAGGAAAGAAGATTCAATACTTCATTACTGAACATTAGGGCCAGCTAGGGGGTTTTAAATGTATTTCACAAAACTTGCTGCCCAGAGCAGTATTCAGGATTGTTCATAATAATCCTTAGATATGAAAACCCCCTAACTTTCTCTCATGCATAAGGAAATCTTTTACTTCAAGGATGTAGAAAAGATTACTTGGGACATTAAAATTAGTTGCTTCACTTCTGATTTCCATAAAATTTCTGCTGTGATATTATATTCTATAAATAAGGTCTGAAGTACGCAAATCAAAATTTTAATGGCCAGTTTTAGGGTATTATGCTTCTGTGTTCTCGTGTTGCAAGTACCCTCTGAAGGGCAAAGAGCTGCTCTTATCTCACAATTAATTCTCATAATTAATGAATTTAGCTGGTGTTGTTTTTAGCAGTGATTAATAAGTTTTACAGCTATTAATAAGAGCAAATTTATTTTACTTCTTTTATCTGATGAAAAGAAACCTTTTACCTGATGAAAGGAAACATTTGAGTTTGACTTTGTAAGGTGATACAATCCTAATCAACATAGCACTGGTGGCAGTTTTTAAGGATTCATTCTGGATGTGTGTACATGCATGTGCCCCAGCCACTAGAGTTCTCCAGAAAGCAATCTGTGCTGCCTGCAGAGCACAGAAATACAGATGAGAGTTTTACTAAGAACTCTAATACCAATAAATATCTTTCAGCTGTTTCCTGGGGAATCTTTTAGACCTCTGGCTGTTAATCCTTGTCCCAGTTCTTGGGGAAAATCTATTTTGCTTCAAAGTGCTTTATCTATAATCAGCTTAGTCAGAATTAATCTCCATGCCCATCTGCAGGCTCCTGACAGACTGGTAATTTCCCTTCCATCTCAATCTCGTGCCCAGAGGAATCCCACACTTGTAACTAGTAAAATTTTTGGTTTTTTCAGCAAATGTAAAATTGCCGCAGGAAAATAATGTAAGGCTTTAAAACAGGAATATTAATGTTTGGTAACTGTGTAGCAGGAGCAATATTTAACAGTAAGATCTTGCAGCCATTCATTTAGCCACACCAAGATTCAATGTTCAGTCTGTTTCAACATGCATTTTTGTGTATTAAAAAAAAAAAAAGCAAGTAAGATCAAACACAATGAAATGGAGTAAACATGGTGAAATGCTGTCCTACAGCCGTATTCCTGGTAGAATCAATTTTCAGTTTCTTTAGAGTGAGAAGGGGATATTTGTTGTTGACAGACATTTGACAGTATCTTGAAATGCAAATACTCAAGTACAAAGCTTTTCAAGCTCTTCAAATGCTCAGATTTTCTGCACTTTAAGTGTGTAATCATGGTTCACTCTGGTATTTCTTTGCATGCATTTGGATCCTCTTAGCTGCAGATTTTCCTTCGAGCATTTAAAATGTTTTATTAATATTGAACAATCCTTTATGCCTGCAAGAGCCACAGTTTTAAGATCTCATATTTTAACCTAGATTTCAGGTTACTTGGGAAGTGACTAATAATTAGTGAAAGAGCTGGAAATGGCTTGTTTCTGTCTTCAAGATTTGGACTACTTCTGTACAATCCCTGACATCCCCTATCCTTTTCTCTGGGTGAAATAGGGATAGGTGAGAGATGTACAGTTATTTTGTATTTTGCTGTTAATATTAACCCATGTCAGAGGAGTCTGTGGCTTGGAGACTGAATAAACAAGCCTTCCTGTGTAATAATTCTGTTTCTGTTGAGTTTTGGTAATCTAGATTTTTAGAGCAGCATTTGAGATTGTCTTTCTTGTAGTATCCTTGCCCAAATCCAGTGTGTGCTCTTCCTACTCACAGCTGGTATTTATGCATATGTGTAGAGCTGTGGATTTATGTTTTGTGTATGGAGTTTAGTGCTGCTAATGTGCGAAGTATTTAGGCATGCAATGCCTTCTGATAAACCAAAGAGCCTAAGTGTAAGGGATGGCAAAATAGCTCCTTTACTTTGTGCTCTTCTCCTCCTTTGCTGCTGTAGGGAGATAAAACAATATGACAAAAGTTAGCAGATAAAATGATAAAATTATGAATGGCACCTTTTTCATTTGTTCTCAATAGAAAGACTAACTTGAATATTTCCGTAATTTATAGTAGTTCAGTGAATTCATATTTCAAAATTTCAAAACCTCACATTCTTTTGGCTGGCACTGGGTTGACAGACCTGGTTCTGGACATTTGCTTGAATTTTGTTGTTAATGAGCACTATGATGTTGCTGTCCATTGGGAATGCTGTGGTACCACATCTTTTGAAGGCTTTAGGCCCTAAGAACTTACAAGATGTGTTCATCAAATGCTTGGTTGTTATTTGTAATCGAGTTTGTTTTGCTTACTGATGAAATCCTTCTCCCTCTGTTTGCAGGATGATAAAGTTAAATCCCTTCTCCTGAATTTGTTCTGCTGTAACAGACTGATGCCTGAGCAGGTGCTGAGGAATGATTGCTTCCTCGCAGTTGATGTGATTCCAGTTTCACTGCACCCAGGTGAAAAAGATGAGCCGCATAAAAAACCAAAATTCTGAGACAACAGATTGAAAAAAAGTGATTAACCAAGGAGAATGGAGCAAAACTCTACTCAATAGATGAAAACTTTTCCATCAGGTGTTTGAGACTTCTGTTTTGAAATCATTGCCCTGATCTAAAATATCAAATTATAAAAGGTTTGGTAGGTGCATTTATTTTTTGAGATTATACAGTCTTCACTGTGTTTTCTTTTCAGTATGTTTTATTCTAATTAAGTATTTGGAATTATAAGTGTGATTTTACTGGTTGTATTCTTGGTTTGTCAGCCTTTTTCTTTACTTGTATGTAGGCTTTACATTTACAGAGACCAGTCCTGTTAGATGCCAGAGATCTTTAAGATGAAACTTTAGCGAGTTTTTATTGAGTTTTTCATCCCTCTTCATGCTCTAAATACAGAGAACATATTCCTCTTAAAGATGTTACAGGATAGTATTTTGCTGAATAATTTTTTTTATTACATAGACCAGTTGTTCTTACAGTAACTGACTTCAGGATTTGAGTAAACACCCCAATATTCTGCTTTGAAAACTGGCAAAAGAAATGGTGAGCACCCTTCCTCTTTTCTTTTTGCCTTTGAAAAATGCAATTGGCTTTCTAGAGGGCAGCCATTCTTCTACTTGCTCCTTTGCTGTGCTGCTGCCAACCAAAATATTTTACACACACCTTTGCAGAACTGACTGTTTTTGCAAAAGCTACTGCTCTGTGTGCATATATCACCTGTTACTAAATGTTTTATTGCAGAAGCTATGAGGTTGTGATTTTCATGAATGGGTTTGTTTGGCTGCAACCCTTGGCTGTTGACATTTCTATTGAAAAGTTTTGTCAGCTCTTTATCTGTACAGGAAATTGTTTATCTTTATGAAGGTTTCCTTCTCAGGAAGGATCAGGTCAGAGTGTGCAGTGTTGCTGTAGCAGTATATTTAGCCTCTGGGTGTTGCTCTTGGACAGCACTGTTGGCAGATTGCTATTTTGCAGGAGAGTTACTGAAGCTGCTTGTTGTTGGATGTAGAATGTCAAAATGCAGTAATAGGCAAGCAGCAGCACCAGGGGAATTTGGGACCCCTCAGGTAAAATAATATGGTTCTCAGTGGGTAGAGATACCCTTGGCAGGCTCATATTTGATATTATTATTGATTTTCTATTCTTAAACCAAAATTAGATTTTTTTTTTAATATGGAATAGTGTTTAAGATGCTCATCCTCTTTCCATTATATGATGCTGTTTTTTTTTGATTTCTGTAAAGTGTACCTAACCAAAGACAGTAAAATACCAAAAGTATTTTTATGACATAAAAAGTGTTTTTATGTAGATTTTTTGGTTAAAGTGATAAATATTTTCAGTACAGAAATCACAGAAGAATAATACCTTGTCAATGAATATAAACATTTAAGAAGTTTTGTGGAATGCTTTGCAAATACTGATTGCACTCTTTCCCTATTAACTAACATTATAAAAATTTAATTATTAAAATTCTTACTCTAATTTCAATGAATGTTAAACCCTGAAGAGAGGTTAGACTAACCTGAATGTTTGTATCATGCTGTGTAACAAATGTTAGAATAAATATTTGCCTGGTTTTCCTGCTCTAGAATCCATGTAAACTAAAGTGTACTTAAATCTCCAAATTGTTAACCTTCTTGGATTTCTGAAGCGAGAAGTATTCATTTATGCTTGACAAAAAAAAAAAATAAAAATTGCAGATCATTTAAAATTTCTTTACTGGCTGTATTATGAAATCTTTTGTTTTCTATGAACCTTTTCTATTTGAATTAAGCATTGATTAAAGTTTTAGTGTCACCAGTTCTGTTTGTTTCTATGTTGACATTTTTTTATGGTAATTTTGTAGCTTCAGTTTTCTTTTCCTTTCTTATTTGCCAGAGGCCTTAAGAAAATGGGTTGGCTCCGGGTTGTGTTGTAAAGCTCTCCTGCCAAAGCTGAACACTAATCCATGGTAATGGACTGCCTGCTGTGTGGTTTGCCACATCTCTTTCAGCTGCTTCTCTTCGGGCTGGAGACGGGTACTTGGAGGATGGGGAAGGAGGCTGAAATGACCCTGTAGGAGCCATCTGGCTCCTTGCTCACTTGCTGTTTCTTCCAAGAAGCCCAAAGGAAACCGGCCTCACTCCTCGGTGTCAGCAGCCTCAGCTTTGGGCAGAGTCCTTGCGCAGACCGGGATGCTGAGGGCCTGGCAGGGGCTGCGTGTTGCTGTAAGGTATTCAGCCTTTGGCAGTAAGCCTGCAGCTCCAGCCCACGGACAGCTTCCTTTTGTGAGGACTGCTGTCTTTGATACTGGTTCAGAGTTGTGTTCTCACTCCTCATCTTGATGCTCACCAGCTGTGCCTTGGGATCAGCTTTGGCTTTTTCCCAGCACATCATACCCAAGCCAGCCACTACAGCTGCCTTCTAGAGCGTAGACATGGTGACAAAGTTACCTCAGAGGAGATGCTCCCTTCAGGCACCTCCAACCCATCCTCTGGCTCTACCCAACCCAGCCTGCAGACCTGCCACAAGGCTGCTTTTCTTTGGGGAGAGGAGTTCTTTCAGCACACTGGGAGAATGTCAGCATTTCTTATCTCTGTGGTTTGGGTGGAGCAGGAGGAACCATTTCAGTTCTGACTGCTGCACCTCTGGTCAGTTCTGGAGACTCTTGCTCTTCTGTTCAATACCTCTTGTTCCTCATGCTCACCTTAACATCCACAATAACATTACCACATCTTCCCAGGTAGTTTGCTACTCATTTCATACTTGTGCCTATGTAGTTTTGAAAAGGGTTGTTGTGGGTATTTTGTACTTCAAAATAGATTTCTGCTAGTTAAGAGTCCTTCTAGGTAACACTCACTGGTATTTTAACAGTTTTTCCCTGCACATATGGCAGGTTAAACACAGCAGGTTAAATTATATTCCTTCATAGGTAACTTCCTCAAGAACTTTCTCTCAATGGGCAAAGATTGATTTTATCTGCAGTCACTTAATTTCCCCAATTTGCAAAGAAACTGGCATGAATTTGTCCTGATTTCAAACGAGGAGTCTGATAGCTTGCAAGCTGATGACTTCTAGACTGTGATGAATGTTTGAGATCCTCATCTTCATTCACATAATTTAAAGCCCTGGTGAAAACTTTCCTCAGATTTCTGGGTGTGTGCTGACAGGCACTAAGAAAATGTGCCGTGCTACAGCTCCTCCAGCAGTTGTGCTGGACTGTGTGTTTTTCACAGCAGACACACCATAGCTAGATAAACAATTTTCAAATTGTCCTAAATCTGCTGCTACCACATGTGGTGATGGCACACGGGATCAAGTGTTGGAGTTGGGTTTTGGCAGCTTTAGACACAGGGTCTGCAGTACATCAGGACCACGCCATATAGAAGGCTGAGTTAAAATGCAGAATTGGAATTTTTGTAAATATAGTTAGTATGTTATATATGCTTAGCATTTGTGTGTTAATGTTGTAAGTTTTGTTACCAACAGGTGGAGAGAAACAAGATATGCTCTGCTGTGGGAAGATGTGATGCTGGTTTGTATTTGTCACCTGCTGTGTTGCCAGCAGCCATTCAGCTGCCTGAGGCCTGTGGGTCAGACTCCCTTGCTCTTCCTGTACTGCAGAGATGGGAAAGCTTGCCAAAAGTCCCTGACATGCCTTCTTCTCTTGTGAACTTGTTCAACTTCCTTGCAACCTTAACAATTGGTAGCATTAGTACAAGTGAGGCAGACCAGATTTCTTCTGTCTCACCTTGGCAGTCCTGGTGTGGACCAGAAGTTTCTGGTACTCGGAAAATGGTATTACAAGTTTAATCTGTCATGTTAGCAGCCCTTTGGCTTCTTTCTGACTTCCTTTTTCAATCCCATGGCCTGTTTCAGTAAAGCCCCAAGGTACAGCAGTACCACAGGAGCTGTCTCAGCAAAACCAGAAGCTTCACCACCTGCCATTGTTAATACTGGATACTGACAGACATGATAGGTCTGGAGAGAGTCCTTGTTTGAAGTCAAAGAAGATCGTGAATGTGAGCCTTGGGGCTTTGAGACACAAGATGATATTCCTTTGGATGCCTCAACAGCAGATTTCGCCCTTGTTAGGTGTGTCTTGGGTTTTCTTTTCTCCCAGATGTGGCCTAGGATGCTTGTACTGTAAAAGTGCATGTTAGAGTCTTGGGTGCATACAGTTAGCTGCAAGTGCTGAGGGAACACATGCATTCCCCCTCTCTGTCACTCACTGAGCCCTCCATGCACTGCTGCAGCTTTTCTTTCTAACCAAATTCTTGAGAACTTCTGCTCTCTCTCCCTACTCTGGCAATAAAGTTTTTCTGCTGCTCTCAAAGACTGGGGTGTTAGTGGAACCTGAAGACCTGTGAAATTTTAATAGTGTTGTCTGATGTACCCTGGAGTGGGTTAAGTTATTGCCATGCCCAGGCAGCAGAGTAAATACAAGGACAATTCTTGAAGGAGAATAAGTTCTGTATCCAGTAGACAGTGTTTCCAGTGTCTTGAAGCTCTGTAGAAGGATCTTTAAATGGTAATTAACACACTTCAAATTTTTATGCTGTGTTTGCATGAACGGTGGTAAATTGCAAGCTGTGCAAGTCCTACCAGCTGAAACACTGAATAAACACACAAGAAGCCTTGTGCAGTGTAAAAGTCACATGCAGTGTGAATCTGTATAGCCAGCACAACTTGGAGGATTTCATTGTGTACAAGTGTTTCAGTTTACAGGATGGATTTAATCTCCCTCAGGACAGAAACTGGGAGAACTCTTCTGGAGCAAGCAGACTGAAGATGGTTTGGTCCAAATACTGTGATGAAGGCTGGATTCAAAGGAAAAGCCCCTACTGGCCTCTGGATCAGGAGATGCAGGTAAAGGCTGCTGGAAGTAGAAGTTGTGCTATTTTAAAAACCTTCTTTTTCCTCATAGAGCTTTGTTTGAAGTTCAAATCTGCTGTTGGGAAATGCAGTTCTGTTCCACAGCAACTTTTCTTCTTTCTAATTTAAGATTATTGTCAAAATGGTGATTACGCAAAAGCTCTCCTTGAAGGGTGGTTGTGACTGGCAGGCACAGTTAAGGCCACAGTTTCCAACATATCACACAAAAGAAAGAAATATTTCAAAGTTGTTTCCTAATACTTTTTTGAAACATTTTGTTAACCAGAACCTGATTTTATTATATGACAGTGACTTTATTATATTACAGTGTCTTCAGAGCTGCTACATTCTCGAGACATCTTTGGCTGTTGGGGCTTGATAGTTCAGTCACTATGGCTTGACACACTTTATATTTCAGAACATTTTGGTGCTAGTGTTCTCTTGGAACCACTTTTTTTTATTTCATGGTGCCATTTGCAAGTAGCGTGACTGCTAATGTACATAAACTGTGAGGCTGAACATTTGGGTATTTTGTAGTGATTTGCCTTTTTCCCTCCAACTTAATAATAGACTTCCAGCCGTGTGTGCTGCAGATTTTCCCACTGTTTTACTAGGCAAGGCTATTCTTTAAAGATACGATCAAAAATCTCACTCTTATTTATAGTCTTCTGTTCCTACTGCTGCAGACAGAAATGGTGTGGATACCAATGGCTCGGTTTTCAAATGCCTCTTTTTCCTTCCTGTTTCAGTGAAAGTGTCTCTTTAAAAAGACAGGTTTTGATGGGAAGCTTAATAAATATGCACTGGAACTTGCTTTAAGTAGTTCATCTGAGGCATACTTGATAGTGCCTATACATACCACCCATACACTATTTCAAACACAAGTAGTAGGTAGTATTAGCTCCTGCTGCTCCTAACTCTACCAGAAGTTGCAGTTTTAGTCCTTTGGAAGAACAGTGTCAGGAAACAACCTGTTAGTGCTGTTAGGTGAGCCAAAATGCTGAATCTGGTTTATTGAATATTCAGTGTATTGAAAATTTCCTAGTCAGAGCGTGCTGACAGGCTGGCAAGTTGTGTTAATATCTTAATACCTCAGGGCATTTATAAAGTTAATCTTTTGACATTGTTATTTGTTTTTTGGCTCAACATCATGATCAATTCTTTTATCTTTTAAAAGTTACGTTTATGACTGCCATTTAATTGATGGTAACTGCAAATTATACTAGCTGCAAAGCAATAAATAAAAAAAATGCAAGTAGTATAATTTGGGACATGGTAATCTTAGTAGCCTGAGTCATGAATTTCATCATCTGCTGCAGTTAGTATAATTTTATGATTCATAAATCTATTCATTTCTTTTTTTAGTGTGTCATCAGATAAACAGCTCAACAGTAAAGTGGCAGAATTGTCTTGTCTCACCCCAGTTGTAGGAGAGAAGGCAGGTCTGATTGTTCCTGTGTATGCGTAGTAAATCTGTCTCTCTGACCTCTTAAATCTGCAAAACAGCTTCCTGTGCTTCTGTGTAGCACTTGCTCATTAAAGCATTCAGATTACCAAATGACCACTACATCTACCTAAAATTTATAGTTTGTGCAAATTGTTTTGAAAAGCATTTGTTCATTTGCTGGAGGTGACCTTCCACTACGGATCAGTGCACAGACACTTGCAGAGTGATCCTGGGCTGACTAAAGCAGGAAGCCATCTACACTTGCTTAGTGCTAGGTCAGTGCTACTGCAGAAGTACTTTCAGACCCTCAAATAGCTGATGGCTCTAATCTAATTACAGAAAAGATGCTTTTTCCTTTACACTCTGTGGATTCACTTACAGTCTAAAATCCTCAAGTGGTGTGATGTGTTTTGGAATGTCCCCTCTTTCTAGATGCCATGCCAGCCACAGTACCTGCCACCTACTAAACCTGAAGTTTGAAAAGCCCTGCAGAAAGAATTAATCTTTAGATAGATAGATAGGTAGAGATACATTATTAAATCAGAACTTGCCTTAATTCATGAGAATACCTTTGCTCTAGTAATTTTTCTTTTTCAGGAACCAGTGGTGAGAAGAAACAAGTTATGGGGTATATAAATATATGACCAGCATCTTTGAACCCATGGTCATTCACTATAAAAGCAGTATCCTCAGTTCACAGAATCACAGAATTGATGAGGTTGGAAGGGAGCACATATGATCATTGGTCCAACCTCTCTGCTCAAGTAGGGTCTTCCTAGAGCACAGGGCACAGGATTGTGTCCAGGTTCTTGAACATCTCCAGTGAGGGAGACTCTGGGCAACCTGCTCTAGTGCTCAGTTACCTGCACAGTAAACAAGTTCTTCATCTTCAGGAGTAGTTTCCTGTGCATTCGTTTCTGCCCACTGCCTCTTGCCCTATTTTTCAGCATCACTGAGAAGAGCCCGGCTCCATCCTCTTGCCATGCTCCATTCAGATATTGATAGACACTGATGTATAAATAAGTTCTGCTAAGGTAGATGCCACACAAGCTGAAAGTGCAGGGATATTGGCTCATGGCATTGTCTTGGCCAGTTAATGACACAGTCACAGTGTGACACAAAGGTGCAGCACTTCTCACTGACCCATAACCTGGGCTTTAAAAATGCTTGCCATGTGTCTGTCCATGTTAGGGACAGCTGAAACTATCCTGCACTGCATGCATACAGGTATGCATTTCAGTATTTGTATTTAGATTCCTCTGTTGCTTTCTGGTTTTCATTTGAGTCACCTACATCTCTACTCTGTGGGGTTCAGTGAAAAGTGGTTCAATTGTGCCATTGGAAAAGATATGTTAATTCTAGAATGGTCCAGGAACTATCAGCTATTGTATAATATCTCCAAGTTTTTTCCTTGTTTTTAGAAATATTAGTATGATAACTCACTTTCATTTGCATAAGTTGCTGTGCAAGGTTATGCCACTTCTAATGAATATGCAAAATCATGTATTTTGACCATGCACTGGTCATATTAGTAGCCTAAAATCCAGATTAAATTAGATTTATCAAGTTAAATGCCAAAAACTTCAGCATAAACAATGGGAGAAGACTGCATTTTTTTAAGACTTAAAACATGTCTTCATGACTTCATTCATTCATTCATTCATTACTTCAATGCTATGTTCTCTTATTTCAGTAAAATAACAAAGAAACTCTTTTAGGCCAAGATATCTTTTCCAGATTTCAACATCAGTCATTAAGGAAGAATAAAAGCTAACCAGCGAGAGTTTAGAGAAGAGTATAAGAAAGTCAAATGTCTGCAAACTTGGAACTTTGGGCTAGAAAAAAGACTTAGATAAAGAGAAGGTTTAATTCTTCAAAGAGGCAGAAATCTAGAACAGAGCTGAACAAAATGGAGTTGTTGTTTCTATATCTTTCCTTTGGGGATAAATGGATTGAATTTTACAGCAAAGGAAGTTAAGTGAGATGTGGCTTCAAACTGAGAATAGGTTTAGATCAGATATTAGGAAGGAATTCCTTATTCTGAGGGTGGAAGAGGTTACCTAGATAAATTGTGGATGTCCCACCCCTGCAAGTGTTCAAGGCCAGGTTGGATGGGGCTCTGAGCAACGTGGTCCAGTGAAAGCTGGTGGGTGTTTGAACTAGATGATCTTTAAGGTCCTTTCCAGCCCAAATTGCTCTATGACTCTGTGATATTAGGAGGAAAAAACCCATTCTAATTCAGCATAATTAAACTCAGAAATGTATGGCTTTGTAGTGAGCTGAGGTATCTGTCTGGCAGACTGTCATAGATATGTATAGTTACTGTTTAGTGGGGGCTGGGCTGGAGAAATATTTTCTGTTCTACTTGGCTCTGTCCTTTGAATTTTTTTTTTTTAATGTATAACTTTGCCTTAAGCCATCACTATTAGGTAGGTTGGTTTCAGCAAGAAAAAAAATGTGTGAACTTGAAGTACCTTGAAGTAGGTAAATTAAAAAGAGGAAACCTGTGTCATAAACTCTCTGTTGCAGATGGTAGGGAACAGAGACCTGGGTTAACAGTGTGCAGTTGAGATGTGTCAGCCCAAGGAAGTTTAAAAAGTGGCTGATGTTTTTCCTTTATTGCAAGTTGCACACGAGTTGCTTTGTACCAAAGGCAACCTGACATTTGCAGAGACCTGCAGCACTCAAATTAATATGTTCTACTTGCAAGGATGACTTCAACAAGGAATTTTTCCATTATAAGATCTTTTATCAGTACATCTCTAAATCTGTTTTAAATTTTTTTTAATCTATTTTGTGCAAAGGCCTGTTGTCCTTAGCTGGTTGTCAAATACATTGCTGCAAGCAGCAACTCTTTTATGGCCAGAATGTTACTGGTAGATGATTAGCAAGATACAGGGCTGAAAGTACCCACAAGTGCCTCATCCTGCTGGACACCATTCTATTTAGAGTATGCTCCCTCTATGTCTTTCACAGGGGAAGTCTTGCCAGGTAACATACTGTCCCCTGGTAAATTGTCATTGGGGTGGGCAGAAAACTGCATTTACATCAGTATTTGTATGGGACCCAACTGCCTCCCAAATATCTGCTGTAAACGGGACTTTGTCCCTTGAGAGCGTTTACCAGGAACTTACAGACTGTTTTTATGTCTCTTCTTTTTTTACAAACAGTACCTGACTACAAAAATAGCATCTCTTTCGATACAGGTTCTAATTTGCTGTTGATTTCCCTTTACTGTGCTTGTTTGGCATATCTGCTGCAGAAGTACTTATGTTGATCCAGTTACAGCTGTCTTCAGACAGAGAAATAAGCAGCAGAAGGAGTAGAGCTTCTGAGAAATACACCTCCTGCTTTTGTTCAGCTGTACCTGGTAGGAGTAATATTAATGATACTCAAGTATGATGCAAGCAGACTTGTTTTTTAAAGGGAGAAAAATGTTCCAGACCATTAGCTCATGCTGTATTTTTGCTAACAGCCTCTTTCTCAGGAAAACTGAAGATCAGAGGCTGAGGGGGAACTCTGAACCAGAAGAAGGTAAAGAAACTCA